ACCATTTTACAGCGATATTAAAATTGACGTCAAAAGAGGAGTTAGGCAAGGCGATACCACCTCGCCAAAATTATTTACCGACACCCTCCAGAACGTCATGCGAACATTGGAATAGGATAATATGCGAGTAAAAATCGACGGTCGACAGTTACACCATCTTCGCTTTGCTGATGACACCGTCCTTATAACACCATATATTAGCCAAGCGGAAAGTATACTTGACGACTTTGATAAAGCCTGCAGAAAGATTGGTCTTCGACTAAATCTCACAGAAACGATGTTTATAAAGAACGCATTGGTTTCGTATGTCCCACTCACGCTCAACGGAGCGAATATCTTCGAATGTCCCAGTTATATCTATCTAGGTAGAAAAACCAATACGATGAACGACCTAGCTCCAGAGCTGAGCAGAAGAAATCGAGCGGTTTGGGGAGCTTTGAAGAGCATCGAGGATGTGGTGAAGAGAACAAAGAACACCCGACTCCGTGCCCACTTTTCGACTCAACGGTATTTCCTGCCCTAACTTATGCTTCAGGAAGCTGGACGCTGCATGAGCAGGATGAAAGGCCACTCAGCGTTATCGAACGCGCAGACAAAAGGACGATGCTGGGAGTATCCCGTTCCACACAGGTAAGGGATGGGATCCGAATCTCAGATCTGCGTTAGCGATCAAAAATCAAAGATGCCGTTCTGTACGCCAAATAGTCGAAGATAAGGTGGGCCGGACACGTAATGCGTATGAATGACAACCGATGGACAAGAGTCGTTATTGACAGGATTCCTCGGGATGTCAAACGTACTGCAGGAAGACCACCGACCCGATGGTCAGAGTTCTTCACAGCCTTGATGGAAGATATGATGCTCAACGGGTTCCTAGAGGGAGCAGAACCCACTTGGCTACTCTCGCGTGCGACAGGAAAAAATGGAAGATTTACTGGCGCTCGCTCGAGTCACTCGACGATCAACGGGCTACAGGTGATACAGCTGATACACGAAATAAACAGGTTAGACATAACAGTACGAACTCGATCACAGCTGGTAGGAATGTAGTTCAATTTCCCGATATCGAAATTTTATATAATATACTTCCTACATCGTGCGAAAAAGATTATCAACACTCCGTGAATGGCTATTGATCAGCTTCAATCCTGGTTTTTAGCAAACGACTCACAGTAAACATTGGTTGAACCCTAATTTCTCCCTGGCGCACACGATATCCCTGCGAGCACACGCGCTCCTTGGTTGACGGATACGAACAGCATCACACGCTTCGATATTTTTGTGAAAAGTGCCTAAATGTGAGTTGAAAATCCATCTTGGGTGATATACACACTCATCGAGAGTTTGCCCAACATTGTTGAGTGGTTGTGAGGACAATTCCTCCTAAGCTATTCTGAACTTTCCCCTATATCTTCTCCAATCCCTCGATTGCTAGTAGACTCAACATTCGAGATACAATCAGCGTGCGCACGAACATACTTACGCTTGGAAATCATTACACATTCAAAGGTGTCCGTCAATCGGACCCCAATGTGACAAAGAGGTCACGCTTTGAATCCACTGGTCTCTCTTAGCTTGTATTTAAATGCCCTGACGCGTTCTTAGCAGTACAAAACATTGCGCTATTATTCCAGGAATGAGTAGGAAGACTTTTTAACTATTTTTGTTGTGAAATAGCAAGTAGTGAGCGAGAAATGAAAAAAAGCCTTTTCATCGGGGGAAGCCATTATCGGAAACGGTAGTGGGAGGCAAGCAAAACGCGTTACCACGCCCGACACCAACAGGCACAAGGCACCTCTTATGACTAGGATTTGCCGAAATAGAAATTTCAGCTGAATGATCAATCAGATTAGAAACCGGGTTAAACTTCTTGCATAGTGGCCTTTATGAACTGATGCCCTTTACATCTCCCTTGGTGCTTTCAGAAAATACGTGAAATATAAACAGTTGTTTTGAACTTTGTCTTTTTTCCTATCCACTCAGTGCATTCTTTCTTCACCACTTTCTATAACGCTGATTAAACACCTTTAAAAGGCGCTGAGTCCTTCGTTCAATCTTTACGGGATATGGTTACCAGTGATGGAGACAAAAGCCAAGTTTTCCATGCATAGGTAGGCTGGGATAATTTTGAAACAATATGAATATTTTCAAAAGAATGATGGATGAGGGACCATAATGAATCAAGTGAATAAAAAATGACTCGCATAAATGCGGACCTATTAAACGATCTGAATTTAGGAAGCACAGCCAGTGAGGACGGGCCATCTAAATATCTAAGTAGTTAAGAATTTAGAAAGCACGAGCATAGTAATGGTAGGGCATGAAAGAAGACACTCCCCTAACGATCGATCGTGAAGCTATTGTTTTTTTTGACAATAAACTTTTAGAATTATGAGAACTAGCATCATATGTATTCTTTCTTTGATGAGCTTACACGAGGTTCATAATGATGTTTATTTTCGGCTAACGTTTCGAGGTCTTCGTCTTCCTCAGAGCCGATGATCCGAGTCGATGGTCCTCGCTTGTTATTCGTCAAAGAAAGAATACATATTGATTAGTGTTACCGAGGTCCAAGGAAAGTCGGTTTCGAAATATTACTAGCATCATAATTAATATATTAAATAAAAGCAGATGGAACACTCTATAAATCCTAATGAATGGATCCTACAGTTGTCGAAGAGGGTATTAGAAGGCAATGCAGATAAAGCTCTTATGAAATAAAGGTGTGAATTTTACATTTCAACTGAGCGATTAATGTGTTTGCCTTCTGAATTTCAGTGGATCTTCAGAGGGCGCTCAACCTCAGCGGTTATTGCAGTTATCGCTGTAGTGTCAGCCTTCATTTGAACACGGTGAACATTTTCTATTCCTGAATACCAGGATTTGGCTGTAACAGGTTGCTGAAGATCAATGCAGTAAGGGATTTTTCTGGAGTATTACCAAAAACGGATCCTTTGCCAGCATTCAACGCGATGTTATGAATATACCAATTTGACAACCAGAAACAATTCATCGTCACTGTGCTAATGTGTGCATGACTGATTAGTCATATGATGTGCAAAATACATGAAAGAAAGCAACTATATGGGCACAGATGTTTTGTGAACGAAGAAGTTCGAATGCTGTACTAATATTTCAATGTCTTTTTCCTCTGGAAATGTTACTCTAATCTGTATGTAAGCACGTTCCTCATTGCCAACGCTATCGAAATACGGTACAGGATTTTACAAGACTGCTGGCATAAAATATTTTAGAAATAACAAATTATGTGGCATCCACATTATGAATACATCTGCATATAAATTGCACTCCATGGACGCTCATTTCCCCAAAGGTTTTCCCGTCAGAACTGATTTTTTGAAATCTGACGATATTTTCTTGTTTACTGGAGTATCCGAGGAGTTTATAGCTGCAAAGCATAATAGAAGTAACTTTGCTCCATCGCAGAAAGAGTATGTACAATTGTGACATCATTCAATACTGTGCCTATTTTAAATGTGCTGACTAACCCATTTTCTCCAACTCCTCACTGGAAGTGGTGTCCTAGATACAAACCCTGCTACTATATGAATGTGTCGTTTTCTTTTTCAGCAATCGCGAGGTTTTTAAACAGCATACATTTACTTCCATAAAAACACAATACAATACAACGCTAGCTGACGTTTCGGCAGTATCGCCTTCTTCAGAGCCTGGAAGGGTATACTGGTATACAATCTACTAGGCCAAACGCTTCAATAACACTTACACAAAGGCGAAAGACTCTTTGGTAATTACACGATCAACAACTTCTCGAAAAACCCACCGCTTTTTCGTGACTTCCAATGAGGAAGTTTAGAACAGCTGATTATAGTCGCATGTGGTTGACGACTGCACCATCCCACATCAAAAATCGATGCGAACGTACGGGATACACCACCTGCTATACACCACCTGCTTGTCTTTTGAGTAGCACTTACGGTTGTGCTTGGATTTCTGTGCGATGATGAACACCTCAAATTGTGCCAGAGAGGGCTCCCACGAAGGAAGTGAGCAGACAGGAAGAAAATGCCCACTACCTCGCCAAAAAAGAGCACTGGCACGAGGTGGACAAAGTAAAACACTCTATTCAATGCAAGGCTTATATCTGGATTCTTGCGAAGAATAGAGGGCAAGTGACTGGACTGTAGCCACCACGACCCTACCCATTGCGATGAAGCTGGTTTTTCGGATATTGCCGGTAATTCCTCGATAAACAGAGTACTTACGGAGTTCAGCAACCCGTTAGTGTAGAGAAGAGACTTTGCGCTATATCTTCGTTGTCCCAAATAATCTTTATACGGCATGCCTTTAGACAAGGTTTAAGATTCCCAATGCAAAACTGGTGGCTGGAAACATGAACAATATATTGCAGAATATCATCGTCATGCTAGACAAAAACCCACTTCTTCATTTCCTTACATGCTCAGAATATGAGAATTAAAGCAATAGAAGTGGACAAATATATTCCACGGGCTTCAGAAACTCGTAATCTCGTCATGAGAGAAAAAGATAACTTCTATACTGCTAGCAAATAGCTGTAAATTCACTACGAGACAAACTATCCTGAGTTGGTAATTATTTTGGCATCGCATGACCCCTATAGAGGCTATATCGTTGCATATGTGTTAAGCCTCTCTTCAGTACTATTAGGTCTCTCTTTAGTTAAGTAACCTACCTCCTGTTTCAGCGTTACCGCTTAGTTAAGAGCACCCATAATTTAAAACATTAGAACCTAGATATTCATTGCGTTGTTAGACACTTGTCTTTATAACAAGAAAAACAATAAGGTGTTTACATTGTGTTATACAATATTTAAAACATATTTACACTGTATTATAAATTATGTGCTCATTACGCGATAGAGAATTGTTATTGTACATACTAAGACTGTAGCAATGTTTTTGGCGAAGGATTGAAATCCAATGGCTTGTGTTCATCATCACAATGTTATTACCCACTTTTTTGTACGCAATTGTTTCGTCTTATACGGTAGTGACAGAAAGGATTCCATGTTTGGCAGTTGTGTCGGGATTTCGTTGACTCAACACTTCTTGTGTGGTGACGAATCCATCGAGAAGCATTTTCTCCTTCTGACGTTGCATTTTCCGTTGTGAAAGTTGCACAATCGTCTGAAATTCGGTTTGAAAAAATTTTCAAATAAACGCAATGATTTTGTAACTGCTAGAAAATTAAAATTTTTTTGCCAATCCCATCTCCACATCTACTGTGCAGATCCGAGAACTTCTTGCATTCGATTCGTTTTCTACCATCCTTCATCCACATGTTCTTAGAACTCTACTCGTGTGGTTTCGGATGTTGTCTAGCTTTTCGTCTTTTTCATGAATGATGTCGGATGCTAGTCTAGACGATTTCACATGAAGCGTTGTGATAGCCAGTTTCTAAAGCGTTTCCAGCAGAAGTAATGAAACTGACCTATTCCCAGACAAGTGTGATAACAACTTCCAAACCCCTGAGGAATAGAAGGCTTGGTTAGCCAGAGACGGTGCCGAAAGAATACTTGCCACGTGAAGAACGGCATCACTACCACTACATTGACGGCTCCCGATGATTAACCTACAACTGATGTGTGCCGTTTGACATAACTCTCCGAATGGAGTACCATCAATTTTTCGTCGGCTAAGGACTTTCTGGCCTTCTAAGATTAAAAACTGCTTTATTTAGGTTTTTTCATTTTAGATCTCATTCACTGAGAATTTTGAAAGACAGGAAACTCTAATTAAACGTTCTAATGCAACAGTATAAAGCACTGCTCAGCACTGTTCTGTATACTGTAGAAATGAACTCATTCTCAATCTCAATATGTTCAATTTTCATTATCTGAGTACAGGGCTTATGCAACCCTCTACAACATTTTAGACTCATATTCATCAACGTAGTGGGTAGAGCAGCAATGTTTCAAGGTGAAGCTTTGCCAACGAATACGTGATCTGTAGCTCTATGCTGCAGTCTGGGCAAATCAAGATTACTATCCTCGCGAGGTCGGAAAATTTCTGGAAAATTTGTGTGAGATCTTCCACTTACTCGACACGACACAAATACCCAAGAGGCGAGAATGAACGGCGGTGTGCAATCGACTCATATCAACGTGGCCCTGAAGAAGGCGAAAGTGCGGAAACGTTATCAGGATAAATTTCCTTATGCCAACTTTATCTTAGCCCAATAATCATGAAAAATGATTGTATGAGTGTTTAAAAGCACTGACTCAATACATTGGAAAGCCACTATAAGTTATTTCATCGGTCAAACATGCATTAAATCACCTCTATTCTGCAACAAATGAAGTAGAAACCATAACACTTCTCTGAGCGATCGATCAAATCCTAACATACCGATTCTACTGACCTCGGCATAAATAGTTTACATATTTATTTATACGTTCTTATAAACAGATATTGTTGAGCTGAAGCGAAGTTCGTATAAGTTTTCGTTGTCGTCGCCGCCGTTGTTGTCGCTGCCGTTTAATGGCCGACGTTTCGCCGACTTCACCTTCTTCAGAGCCTGGACATACTTTATGCAACGAAATTTGTAAAATTCGGTGGAATGCATATAGTATCAGTAAAGGTCTAACATATAAATAAACGCCATATTGATCAAAACCTACACACCGTGCCGTAACGAGTGGGACTGCCCGCGTGTTGCTCACGGTGGATGACGAGCGAGAACCACCTAGGCGTCAAAATATCATTTTGAAATAAGGCGCAAGGTCACGTGTGATAGTGAGGCGTTCGTCTTTCCGCTTCATCTGTGGATTTTTTCAAAATGATATTTTGAACCCTGGGTGGGTCTCGTTCGCCATCGCATGTGAACAACGCGTTGATAAGCGCCACTCGTAACAGCACAGTAAGTAGTTTCTGATCAATATTGCGCTTATCTATATGTTAAATCGTCGTTAGTACTTTGATTTTTTTTCTCTGGATAATTAAACTATTCTTGTGTAAAACACGTCCAAGCTCTGATGAAGACGAAATCACCGAAACGTCAGTCATCGACCAACAACACCAACAACAAACAACAACGACAACAAAGATATACCAACCTCGCATCAGCTCAACAAGATGCTTACAAGATCATATAAGTAAACAAATCCTAACACTTTATCGTTACTGTCGCTACAAAGTGGAAATTGCCAGAGTGGAATAGAAGCCTTCTTTTTAGATCGTCCTTCGTTCGTGTGTAGCAACCACCAAGCCAGTGCCAAGCAGTTTGTGCAAAAAAGGCGTGTCATTATGTTACGTTAACTGTCCACCATAGATGCATGCTAATAAAACCAGGTAAGTTCCTTACTGAGAAATTTCGTCATCACCTGATTAGCTGGTGAGATCTTCAATTCGACGATTTTTTGCTGGTTTTTAATCTTTCGTCTTCGTTCTTCTTCTAAATGTTTCTTACGCTCTTCACGTGAATGGAAATGTCCAAGCTAAAAAATAAGACCAATTTTGTTGAAGGTTTTCTTATCAGAACAATTTTTCTTAGCGTGTTCAATAAGTGTTGATAATCAACTGCTTCTCTTCAGGTAATGAAATAACTAGTCTGCTAAAAAAACTAATCACAATTTTGACTCTTCTTCGATTTTTTCGATTTTAAACGTTTTGTTGAAACATTTCCTTAGAGTATGCAATTTTTAAAAATTTATAAATATCAGAACGAAAAGATGATCAATTACTAGTTTACTACAGTTCGATGCCATTTTAAAGCCTCAGTAAATAAAACGATGTTGAGAAAATTTTTAATGATGTCATTTCTGATATCTTTAAAGAGCTTCCAAATCTTTAGTATCCTTCCTCCTTTAGAGAACTATTAACTTTTCCATAGATACATCGTGTATACTATCATGGTATTCATGAATTCAGTTACACCTTAATAGTGACTAGATGCTTTCGGAGCACTGACATACCTTTAGCTCGCTCATAGCGTCGTCGTCTGTACTGACACCGGTACGTTCTCGAACAAGTTGTGCCGCTCTTTTCTTCAGAATTTGGTTTCGTGCCGGTCGCTTCACAATGTATCGTGAACCGTCACATCGTCGTTTCACCTACACATAATATATTTTTAAATAGACGACTGCTGTGGTTATTCGTAATAACAGAGATTAAAACTTCATTTATTAATCTTATGTTTCATGACGCGACATTACTTATTCTTCGGATTCAAGCACTTCTTCTATTCGATTCGCCTTCCGCAGATCGGTCATCCAGAAGAATCCTCTCATTTGCCCGTGAGTTCCCGTGCTCCTTGAGAATTTTGGTCCTCTTCATGCCGTCGTTTAATATTGTTGAAATACATTTTTCCTGGCATGCCTGTGATGTTATGGCGTTTCTACGGACTCATCGCAAACAATAAGCAGCTTTGTAGATCGGATGTTATTCGCAGAAAATTTTGGTAGCAATCTGCTTACTATGGACAGATCAGGGGTCATGTCGCTCATGTTATCGATAGGCATCTCCACCACCTCTGCACTAGTGTTATCTTATTATCAAGCGGTTTATAAAAAAGGATTTGCGATGCCATTCGTTCACCTCTGTGCCACTAATATCAAGTACAAACAAGATTCCTACTAGGGCAATTCGGGTCTCCTACCTTATATGCAGAACCGCCACAAATATAATAGTTCTGAATAAACGAGGATAAGTAAAGATAAATGTAGGACATGACTTTTTGTAGGTAACGAGCTACCTGGCTCCTTTCAGTCGCAACAGCAAATATTCAGAGGAACAATAAAGATAAAACAAATATCTCAGCATCATTGAAGTTATATTTCGCAATATAACCTGCCATTAAGAGTAGGCAGTAAATAAAACGGCTAAGATTGTGACTATAACTAAAGCCTCAGCTTAGCTGGGTCCATGGCCGATTTGCGCTCCCAAGATCGATCCCGTTGACGGGTGATTGCCGATGGCAGAGATCGATAGAACTAGCTGAGAGACAGGCGAAACGAAGGAACCGCGTGGTGTGGTGGTGAACGTGTTAGCCCCCGGAAAGGGCAATAACGCGTTCGTTCCCCACCGCAGACACCTGCGGCCCGGAGTTTTGCAAATATCTCAGCACCATTGAAATGAGGATAGACTTATCGGAGAAAAACTGGATCTGTCACGGAACCTTTCAAGGGAAATGTTAAGTTGCTTTGAAACTGATGCCGGAATTGTAATTTCATTTTTCCTGCACATATTTTCGCAGTATTTTTTTCAGACGTCGAATCGTTATAGACTAGCAAAGCTCATTTAGTGTACATTAACTACTTGTATTCGAATGGAATATAAATTGGTTTTTGGCATTTTCTTAAGGCTGGAATTTTAGAGATCAGAACAGCAGTTTTGACATATCTAACTCTATGATATCAAATAGGATGTAGGCAGCATAAACTGTTCGGTAATCAGCTAGAAGCTAAGAAATCTTGACCAATTAGCGGTGAAACGTTGACTTGAGTAGTTTTGTCGTCACAAACGTGACCTTGAGAATGAAGAAGGTAGGGGACGTCCTCTACTACTGACGACGATGAAGGGTTTGGCGGAAGCGATACGAAGCGTCTTAAAAGCATCTGGAAATAATTGCCAGGTCTAAGAAGTTGGAAAAATGGATGGCGCACGAATCAAAAGAAATCAGTGAAATCGCAGTAATGATGTATTACTGACGCTTCTTTTGTTCAACAAGAAATACAAGTTTCTTAATCGTATTGTGAAGTTCAATGACAAATGAATCCTATGTGCTAAACTGAGACGATCGACTCAATGGCTTGACAGCGACGAAGCTATGGCGCACTTTTCAAGCATTAAAATTCACCCGAAAAGATCTTTTCCGTGTTGGTCTGCAGCTCGATTGACCCGGCAGGTTTCCGAACCCAAACGATACGGTTACCTATCAAGGTTGGCTGAATTCAGTGAAGAAGCACGTCCAATAAATTGATGAAATGTGTTAAAAACTTCGTCGGCTACTTCCCAAATTTCTCCACAGAAAGGGACCAATCTTTTGCAATTACGTGCAGTTGACTACTTACGTAGCTAAGGTTGAACATGCTAAACTACGAAATTCTGTTTCATCCACCGTACTCGTAGGACTTCTTGTCTGCGGAATACCTCTTCTTCAAGCATTGGGACTATTGCCTATGCGAGAAATGTTTCAGAAGCCAAGCCAAGGTCTGAGCTGCTTTTAACGATTTCATCTTCTCAAATAGTACAGATTTTTATGCAATTACTTTGAACGGATCTATTTCTCGCTGGCAAGAATGTATACATTCGGATAATTTTTATTTCATCAAAAACATATATGAGCTCATAAATGTCACTTTAACATGCAGGTTGGAGTTCGTCGTTTCAGAAAGTCTAGTAGCTCTGATCGGTGTGTCTTGCTAACATAAAATTGATCATCTTTCACTGACCAGATAAAAAATTTCATTGTTTTTTTTATTGTTAAAAACGGTGAAGTAAAGGTCTTATTCATTGGGGCCGTTGAAATCTTTGGTTAAAGGTTTTGATATGGAATGGAAGTTCCAGATGTGTGAGGAAGTAGTTTTTTGTAGGAGGTATGTGAGGAAAATAATATGGATTCAAGAAAAACGAGAAAAATCTCGTACTTCGACTATGTCTAACTTTACAACTGGCTCTGAATTATTCATTAAAGAGTGATTCATTGCTAAAAAGGGAGTGAAAATTTGGGAACACAGAAATCTCCGCCATTCAATAAGGTCTTGTAGATCTAATTTGTGCAGACTCTTTACTTCACCAATTAACCCTAGGTGTTTTACTTTTTATTTACAACTTGTTATTTTTTCATGTTAGGGTATTATGTGAAGCAGTACCAAAATGATGATGAGGTAAGAGCAAAACACGGAACCTGAAGCCACTTAATTGGGTTCTATTTCGATTTGTGTTTCCCAGATCATCCTCGTTGACAGGTGATTGCTGATAGCACAGTTAGGGCATAAAAAATGGCCGAGAGAAGCAAACCAAAAGTCTCGGTAGTGCAATAGATAGCAAGGAAGCTCCCGCAAAAGAGTAATCGTGAATTAAACGCTGATCTGGGGTTCCGATTTTTGCGAATATCTCATCATTCTCAGCACCAATGCGATTAATCCTAGATGATTCCCTGCTTTCTCGATAAGCACACATGATGTTGTTATCATACTATTCACTAACCGCAGCGAAAGCTCCAGTAGTTTCGCCAATTTGACAATCCCGTGATGTTAAATTCACATGCAGTTTCCTCTGTTGAACACGTTCATAAACTCATCAAATGAGAGAAAATGCATAAAATTTTGTGGAAATACATGTAAATTTGACCTTTCCAGACTTCAAAGAAGGCGAAAACCGTTAGCTACAGTTGATAAATAGCAAAATAACAATCTCGTGCGTGCTCGTCATAAAAAAGAAAATTTTTGACTAATATCGAGGTCAAGAGGGGCTCGTTTACCACAGGGATAAGAGGCGCCTTGAAATGCACATAGGTTAGATCGTGCACCCCAGGTTCACCAAGCCTTAAATCCCTCCGGCGTAGTAAATGGTGCCAGATCTGTTTGCTAGGATGGAAGCACTAACTGGGTAGATTGGTAGTCCAGTGCTAGCCACTGTATAGGGCAGATATGTGCTGAATCACGTCTAACGACACTTGATGATGTCGAATACAAGGCGCATCCCACAGCGATTGAACAACGCCGAGCGCTTTATCCTTCTTGACTGAGGTTAGTAGATAGTCGCTCTTAGAAATTACTGAGATGATTTGTACTGCTAAATGCTCAGTTATCCATTTATCTTCATGCGATTGCCATGAGTCTGTTTCATCTAACGTACCTAACATTTTGCAAGCCGACCGTCATTTAACCTCGGAATGAATGATCAATGTACGTTATTTCATTGATCACCTAACACGAGGTTCTTGCCAAAGATTTATTCGGCTAACGTTTCGACGTCTTCATCCTCCTCTGAGTCGATGATCCGAGTCGATGGGCAACCAGGTGTTAGCATACTTAATGTGCTTAAAATTTCATCGTCAACTTGGATGGTGGTTAATTCTACGTAGTTCACACATGGGAGTCATCCTCTACTTCAATGCTACCATTGCTTAATGAGCATTCTTTGCCTGGGTTTGGACCAATTTTCCAATCTTCATGGTAAAATTCACATAATTTTAGTAACCTATACCTAGATGATTTTTGCTAGAATATTACAAAATGGGAGAAAAAATCAACCGAACAGTAGGAAGGCAGTGCAAGTGTGGGCGCAAGTGTACAATGAAGAACAGCTATCTAAGCCGCCCACAGGATACTTCTCGACGTTCAAGTGTGGAAGCACGTTTCAAAAGAGGACTTTCCTTTAGCATAGGCATGACTAATCAGTGTTGTCTTTCTCGTAAGGTTCTTCCGTCACGATCTAAAAGCCTTGACTTTCCGGTAAACCTAGTGTTGCGGTGTTCAGAAATAAATGTGCGCTTTAAAAGGAATTTTAAGCTTTGCAATTTTAGATGTCAAAAACGAATTTTTGTCAAATTTTTTTATGAGTTCAAAGTTGGTCGCAGTCTAACTTTTGACGGAATATAAGTATAGCAGAGACGGCTCGAAATATTAATAAAATTTGGGGTAAAGGCAGTGTTGGTGAATCAACAGTGCGAACATGATTCTGAAAGTTCCGATCTGGTGGTTTCGTCCCCGAAGTAACGAAAGGCCATAAATGTCCCAATGAACTTGACGACAACGAATTGAAGACGTTAGTGGCACCAAATATGCGAAGAACTCGAGAGCTTGCAGAACAGCTTGACGCAAGCACAGGAAGAACTTTCACTCATTTGAATCGCACAGGAAAGGCAAAAGAACTCGACAAGTGGATGCCGAACGAATTAAACGATAGTGAAAAATTCGCCGTTTTTAAGTGTCGTCTACTCTTATTCTGCGCAACAAAAGCCACCTTTTTCTTGATCGAATTGTGAGATGCGACGAGAAGTGGATTTTGTACGACAACCGGCGACCCTAAGATCAATGGAAGGAATGCGACCAGTCTCCACAACACTTCACAAAGCCGATGTGGCACGTAAAAAGGTTATGTAACTGTTTGGTGGTCTGTGCACGGGCTGATTAGTCACAGCTCTTTGAATCCGGGCGAAACGATAACGGCAGAAGTGTTGGCAACAAATCGACGAAATGCACCGTAAACTCTAACATCAACGATCGACATTAGTCAAAAAAAAGAACAATCGTTCTCCACCACAATCGGTCTCACGTTGCGGAACCAGCGCTGCGGAAGTTAAACGCGTTGGGCTACTAAACTTTGCCTCATCCTCCATATTCACCAAACCTCTCGCCTACCCACTGTCACTTCTTCAAGAACCTTGACAACTTCCTGCGCGAGAAATACTTCACGAACTACGATGACGCACAAAACGCCTTCAACCAATTCACTGGTTCCAAAACTCTAAAATTTTGTGTAACTGGAATAAATAAACTTGTTTGCTTTGGCAAAAATGGTTAGATTCAAATGGTTTTCATTTCGATCAGTAGAGTTTTGTTCAGAGCTAGTTATAACGTTTTAAACAACATATTTCAAAACCGACTTTCTTTTAACCTCTACATTACTAGTCAATGTGTTCTCTGTTTGATAAGCAGGATTGATTATCCAGAAAAAACAAGTTATTCACACCGAACAATCACAACTACCAACTATCAGCATCTGAAATAAAAGGGCATCGTCGAGTGAGTGTGCCTCATTCGAGAGATGGTCCGCTGATGAAGACACAACTTGTTACAAAGGCGATGACACCACATCGAGTGGAAGAACAACCGTGGGCCATCGACTCGGATCATCGGCTGTGATGAAGACGAAGACGTCGAAACGTTAGCCGATTAAGTATCATTTATCAACCCCGTGTAAGCTTATCAAACAAGAAACACGTATTAAACAACATAGTTTAAAAAGTTCATTTATTTCTGAACGACGTAGTAGCTTTTTTGACGTTCACCATTTAAAACACATTTAAGCGTGGCACTAATTTGTGTGAGTTGACGAACGTGTTGCGACTAAATGGATGAAAATTAGTTTGGTAACTTATTGATGAGTGATATGGAGAATGTTTGAGAGCATTCTATCCGCCGATAGTCTTCTCAAACCTGAGATGCTTTATTGATGTCAATGTTTGTTAGCTGGAATATGGTAGTTCTATTGCATCGATTTTTCTCGGCTATTCCGGCTTATGAAGTATTATTGAGTTGTTTCTGACATCAAAAATATGACTATCTTACCTTCCATTTGTATAAAATCGAATCATTTGAGCGTGAGATCGGCTCAAAATTTTTCGTCGACGGTCCAGCAACATCACGGTCGTCGTGTATTTCATTCGGCTTTTCGATGGCTTCTTCTAGCAAATACAATTTGTCCTTTACTTTAGCGCTTCTAAAATACCTGAAAATAGTAATAGTTTTCTTAGGCAGAGTAGTTTTCATTCACAAATGCTTACGTTTTATCTGGCTCTAACTATAAAACTGCTACTTCTTGTACAAATTCTCTTTCTTTGTTTCTAATAGAGGATATGATCAGGTATTATATGATGTAACATAGACAGATAAGCATACATTGTTCTTAAGCGACCTTTGCGATTGATTTCTAATAAACAATGTACATTTGTGTTGAAAAAATCGAGTTTCCAGTTTGACTTTGAAATTTCTTTTCAAGCCAAACAGTCGGAAGCATTCAATGTTGGAAATAAGCGATAACTCCATAGAAACAGTTTTTATCTTATTTGTAAATATTCCAGTGAAATACAAGTGTTAGTGTTTCCTTGATCCGGAACAGTCAGAATAGAACGTAGTTAGATAATCAGCATGTATTCTTTCATAGACCCGCCAACGGTGATGGCTTATCTTACAATGTTACTTACTTTGGCATCGGAATGTTCTGCTGAGCGACTGCTTCTTGACTATGATTGTTCACACCTTGATCTGGCATAACAATTGATAAAGATGGTGCTCTGAAAGCGCAACATTTCTCAATGGTTCAGTTTCCGAATGAATTCTATGGTAATTCGAGAAAGAGAGGGAGAACAGAGAGGGAGAAGAATAGAGAGAGCGGTTTACTAATAAAACATCGATGAAGTCTATTTGTTACGGTAACCAAACGACTAGTTTATTTCTCAACCAATTTATTTTTCGTATATAATGTTGAGATATTTGCAAAACTCCGGACCGCAGGTGTATGCGGTGGGGAACGAACGCGCGCTATTGTCCTTACCGTGGAGTAGCGCACTTCACCACCACACCATCCGGGTCCTTCGTTTTGCCTGTCTCTCAGCTAGTTCTATTGATCTTTTGCCATCATCAATCACCCGTCAACGGGATTGATCTGGGGAGCCCAAATCGGCTTTGAACCCAGTTAAGCTGAGGCTTAGTTATAATCACAGTCTTAACCCTTTTATTTACTGGCTTTTTCTTTAGAAATAGAACTAGCTGAGAGACAGGCAAAACGAAGGACCCGGATGGTGTGGGTCCAGAGTTTTGCAGATATACACCTGCGATCCGGAGTTTTGCAAATATCTCAGCACTATATACCAGTTATATTTCGCAACATACTCTGCCATTAGAAAGAAAAAGGCAGTAAATAAAAGGGTTAAGATTGCAATTTATTTTTATTGTGATACTAAACTGAAAGTCTATATCTAGCTGCAAATTTACCAAATCAACACATGTGTTACCGTAGTAAACCACACTTTACCAGTATATTAGCCTATGTGGGAAAAAATTTATTTAACAAAACTCATTCATATTCTAATACCTAGGTTAATAGAAAGTCGATCCTGGGAACTGTTGATCAAAACTCACTAAAACTCAGTACAAAAACATTTAGAAATAAAAGTGAAGTATATATAAATGTAAAATAAGAAATATGGAAAAATATGAAGTAAATAAATATGCCAAAAGAGGTGGATAACACAGTGGTAGTAATATTGATAATCATGGGCACGATGCTGATTCGATCCCGCAGTGGACTCACAAAGCCTCTCATTTTTCTGGGGTAAGGAAATTAGTGCTGGACTTGTCCGGAAAGAAATCACTCTCTGCAACCCAAGTGGGAACGCTGTGGCCCGGCTATCTCAAGACTCCAGGGAGAATTGCTCGAGCAGCATTCTACGACATTCAAGATGAAATTAAAAACCTTAAGCAGCCGCCGAAGCAAATTTAAAAGGTGGAAGACATCGGTGAGTGATGGATAAGAGAAAACGATTAGAATAAGAGAATTGCTGGGATCCGCACAGTAGATGTGGAAGACGGGTCATGCAAATAAATATAATAATATCACAAATATAGCAAAAACATTGAAAACGAAAGATAAAATATGCGTGCAAAATAATCGGTGTTAACAAATCACCTGAATCGCCGACCATTGTCATCCTTTGTATGTCGTGGTAGAATTCGTAGTGGAGGAAAACGTCGTCCCTCAAAAGTTGGCGCACGACCGGGTGTGATGTGAACGTCGTCTGCATACCCAGGCGTATGAAGACAATTAGCTGATTCGACCGGTATGACAACATCTAAAAAACATTGCAGTCAACGTCGCTCGGGATGCTTCTCAGTCTCAAGTGCAGTTCATTCACTTTAGTTCACCTATAGAAGGAAACTACTTTACACTATCGATTATAGGAATAATTAGGGCCACTTAACAAACAAAACCTTTAATTGTGATTCTTATGTTGACTATATGCACTCTGCTTATTACACTATGGCGGCCAAATAACTCGGTGAATAAATTGTGGTAATCGCTACATGCACAATACTTGCCATGAACGGCAATAGCCAACTATGTTGGTGAACTGCTGAAAATGTACCAGATAGGTACTTTGAAGCTCCAAAGAAGGACAAGTTTTTCAACCGACAATGAAGTGATCTCAGTTGCCCACTCTTCCTGTCATAACATCGGCTCATGAGAAAATGGGTGAGTGATTACTAGATCTTAGGTTGTATAGAACAACACCGGATGAGTATAATACATCCACGATAAAGAAGACCGACATAAGCCAATTAGTGGGACCACTACAATTAGTGGAAAAGGGTCCTACCACAAAATATTACCCCACCCCTCTTGTTTGCCCTCACAGTAAATATCGTGGCAATTTATGCGAGATCCTTTCATCTCCTATCGCCATTGCCCAGATGCAGCCCACTTGTCAAAAGAAGAACGGTAGTTGTTATTAGTTGTTACAACTCATCCAAATTATGATAGAGAATTGGAAGCGTTTTATAATCAGTTGAGAAAAGTAGTCAGCAGCGAAACATCCTATAAAATTGCTATCAAAGTCTTCAATTATAATTAGGAAAGACGAGGAAAAATTAGTACAGCAAAAAAAACTTGGAATGGAAAATCGAAATAAGATTGAAAACCGTCTTCTTCACTATCCTACTACCTACTACATTCTATGAAGAATTCTTTTTCGTAAAAGCAGCAAACATGGTTAAATATGAGAGTCGCTTAAATCACATTTGCTGTGCAATATATTTGTACTGGACTTGCTGATCGCACTTTCGGCGTGGAGAATCGGCTCAGCTAAGAAAGAAGGTCTCTCCTTTTCTAATTAAAGGAGGTTCTATGCGATTAGAACATCCTAAACGAAATACCTTTCTTATATGGTTGGTTCCTCAGAGATGGGCCGACGAAATGCCACAAGCCGCTGTTTGAAGGCTCACAAATTGTGCAAAGCAGAGTTCAGCCAGCTATTTAAGAAGCTCTAGTCGAATGTCCACCAAAACTAAGGAATTTTTTTGAGAAGAGAAGAAAATAAGCGCCTAGCGGATACTATGAGCACGAAAAGTGAAATTAGGGAAGTGTCGCGTAGAACAATGGAAGCAGAATGGACCACCTTTGAAACAGCCACAGAAACTAGCGACTGGCTAACGGATCTAAAAATTCGAGCCTACCTTAACAACCCAAGAGTTTGCTACGCAACTGATACGAGAACAATTGAAATTCTCATCTCGCCGACAATTTTACGAAACATTCACAGAGCGATTAAGGAACGGTTTCCAAACACGAAAAGGTAGACTGCTAAATCGCCATATGCAGCATGGACTTTTGAAGAATACAAAAAAACCAAGTACAACTATGCCGAGCAAAATACAACCACAGGTGAGCTCCAAACCGTCGACTATCCTTACCAACGCTTCACGTGTTATCCATTGCACCATCTAGCTCCTTACTTTGTTTCCTGCTAGGGCGGTCTTTTACCCTAAAGATGCTGTCAACTATAACCCGTCGAAGGGAAGGATCTGGGAAGACCAAATCGGCATTGAACAGAGTTAAGCTGAAACGTTGTGGTAATATTTCACATAATTACCTGCCATGAAAAAATACTTACTTCCTTGGATGGCCTGTCCTCACTCCTCACTTGTTGTGTGGACCCCAGCATAATTTCCATTTTTTCAGAGTTGTGCTGGTTTAGGCATTGTCTCCCTGGTGTCCCGAGGTCACACTAACCAAAGTCTATCCCAGGTCGTCACCACCACAAGCAGTCGCCGTCTCTGTGGATCAGAGGGAGATTTCGCCACCATGCGACTTTCATACCAGGACGGTGGTGGATTTTGGTATTGATTTACTCTTAGCTAGGCTTTCTGATGGAAACGCCGGACTCTTTCTAAGCTTCGGAGACCATTCCAGGAGGATGAATCTCCCTGTTGTATATCGTAGTCCGACACCCAGAAACACCTGCCAGCTACGATGAGACGGTAAACCGTCGTAAGGCATGGAAATATATTAGGCGGCAAATAGATAAACAATGTAAAACTAAGTAATTACAAAGTAGGTGTTCATATTACTGCTACCAAACCGAGCATCAGTTAACCTCGTCGTGAGTAATCAGCAAATTCCTTTGGATTGCTTAGTTGCACGAGGTCGCTACACAACCTTTATTTGGCTAACGATTCGACGTTTTCATCATACTCAGAGCGGATGATCCTTGCCGACTGTCGACAGCCGTTTGTCCTTTCAATGTGGTGTCCTCCTCATCACATAATGTGCTGAAGTGCTAGGCGATGCTCTGCTGGGAAGATTTGACTCGATACGACGGCGAAGACACCGCATGGAGAAGACGAGCGACTGTGGAATATCGACTCGGAACCCCGGTTTTGAGGAAGGCGAAGACGTTAAAACGTTAATCGAATAAAATTAATATAACAAGCACGTGTAAGCTGAACAATCCAAAGAAATTTGGACGCTCATAGTTCATCCAAGCCTTCCGTATTTGCAGTTGCTGAACGTGGAGCAATGGCAACAAACGTCACTATGTTCACAGCAAACCATCACTATGAACGACAATCGCGGGAGAAAGAATAAATAGGAAAAAAAGTGTTCGAATTTGCGTCTTTTGTGTAAAAAAGGTTGTTTCTAGGAATTAACTAAATGTTAAAAAAAATAAAGGTACTAGTGTTAATCATTCTACTTTTCCTAAAAACCAGCCAATTTGCATTTGTCATGTCAACTCATTGAGAAAGTTTTGGGTTTCTTAAAAAATGAAACGATGAGATCACTGCTCTAGTCGCCGCTAGTCAGTAGTTTTCGTCGCAAAAAATATTTTCGTATAAATTTTTTAAAAAATTTCTTAAGCCGAATCCAAACAGGGAGAAATCAAAAGCGTTGGGTGGCTTCAGATTCCTCAATTTCACTCGCCAACTTCGAACATTTTTCACCCGAAACAAAGAACGTCACTAGAATATGCTACAATTGGAAAAATAAGAAGAAAAACTGCCACGACCGACTTTCTATTAACCTCGGCATTGATCAAGTGATTTTGTTCGTATTTTTTTGAGCAAACGCGAGGTGTTATTATTCTTTGTTCACGATTAAGCCGACGTTTCGGCGAATTTCGCCTTCTTCAGATCCTGGAAAGGTCAAGTTGATAGCAACTCACTCGGCCAGACGCCTCCATAACCAAACAAAGAAACCCCAAACCAAGATTTC